TCAGAATTTAGGGCTCCCCCCTGCTAAAAATATCTATAGTCTTAGTCTTAGCTATGGAAAGCACATAATGCTATAGATGCTGTTGCCTTAAGAGGAGGTCTTTAGATATTCTGGGTGAAGATAATTTTTGTAATTTTGGTTCTTAAGATGGAAGTTTTTCACTGACTGATAATGTTATGGGATGAGTCAGAAGTTGGAGTGGTTACATAGTGTTTCATGCTTTTTTCTTCATAGCATGCCAGCAAATTTTTAAGTTTTTAGTATTTTTTTTAAACAAGTCTGTATTGTTAGTTTTGTTATTCAAGTTGGTTTATTTCAGAGAAGCTTTTGCAAGGAGACTTTTTTCCAGTATTTTTTACTTTCTAACCAGAATTAATTCTTGGGTCAGAATAGCATTCTGGGAACCAGGCACTGACCTTGGGCTGATATTTCTGAAGGAGATAATTGCCTGCTTACTATTTATGACTGCCTCCATTCCAGTACTGGTTCACATATTTTAAAGTATCTTTCAATGCAGTTTATCAGCTGGGAGAGAATGGGAAGAGCCATCACCATTTGACCATCTCTGTGAACCACCGGCACAAGCTCAGTGGGCCATGGAACACAGTGTGGGAATTGCAGTGTGCAAGAGGTTACACAAGATGATCCTGATGGTCCCTTCTGACCTTAATGGATATGGGACTATGTAGGGAATTGATTACAGAGGCACATATCTATTTACAGTGAAAGAATGGAAAAGGATATAAAAGGTAAATTTCAGTTATCCTAGAGGTCATATTGGCAGCTAAGGAAAGAATGGACAAATGGTAGGGATCTTTATAAGACCTTAATGGAAGTTTCCTCCCTTCTGAGCTACCTCCTACAGATCTCAGTGATGGACAGAATAGTCTGTGCAAATAAAAGCAGTACAATACTAATACAATGCCATATTCCCATTATATTATGTTAAATATGCTGCTTATCTTAGTTTAAAAAATAGCATAGCTAAATATTCATGAGCAAATGTAATAACAGAGCTACTCTTAGTAGATAGTGACAAGATCATTTTTTCACGGTCTCCTGATTTGAAACTGTTATTTTGCATGCACTGGGATTTTAGTAATTCTTAAAAGGCTTGGTGTTGCAGGAATCTTCAGCTGGGGAGATCCCACCAGCTGGAGCAACACAAAGAGGCTGTAAACTTGTAAACTGGGAGCGGGGGAAGGGTAAGAGTTTGGCTTGATAATTATTAAAAGAAAAAAAAGCATTCTAAATAATTTAGGCTTTTTTTGTTGTAAACAGTCTTGGAAAAGATTTGGCACTTTCCCGTGCTGTCTTCCTGCCAGGATTTACCCAACTAGATCTGTTAATGCTGAATGGTCATAGTCATATCACATAAGAGAAGAGGCATGTGATTTAGTTCAAAGAGGCCCCATTATTGCAAAATATCTACATACGGTCCCAATAATACTCTGCTTTACTAGGTTAGTTTATCTTTTGGTGAGAGCAGTGATTTTGGTTGGATGGGCAGAGGAGATTATAACCAATGGGATGCTTTGTAATCATAAATTGGCAAGCTTACTGTATAGTTTGGCTCCATACAGGAGTAATATGAGTAGCTGATGTCTGATGATATTATCTCTAGGGATCGTACAAGGGAGGAGAATGCAGATTTAAGCTTGGAAGGTCTGGATTTTTATCTATAGATGTTGGTAAACATTAACTTCACGATATTCACACGACCAACAAAAACATCTACATTCATAATTATCCAGCTTCACAGATAAGCAGAGTAAGAGCTGCTGCTTAAGAACTTAGAGTTTTCATATAAGGATATCTATTTTGTCAACATCACATGTCAAAACATATCATTTGTGTTTTGATAGCTATAAAGCTTTAAGTTTGAATCTCAAGACCTACTGCCACTAAATAATTTGTTTCACTCCCCCATAATTGAGAGGAACTGGGACAATTTCAATGAATAAACAGGACAATGCTTACAAATAAAACAAATTATCTGTCAGTTGTAATAAGTTAAAAATCAAATTCTGCCAAGTCTGAATATATTAAATGTCAAAACAAGGCAAATGTTTAAAAGCAATTCATTTCAAGATATAGACTATGGCACTGAACCTTTAAGAGAGATGTCCATTTGGCTCATGATTTGTTGTACATAATGAACAGGCAGAAACCCCATCCCAAAAATAAATGGGCATGGATATTTCTTTACTGACATGTTTCCAGAACAGAACCTGAATGGAATGAAACCAATAAAGATCTACAAATACAGCTGAGCTTGTGGTTAGGTATCCATTCCTTGAGGATCATTTAGAAATTGGCTACAGTGTGCTGGGGTTATGGGAAGCATATTTCCCCTATCACTGCAGGCTGCAGTTAGCTGTAGGCTATTTCCCTCTATGCATTTTGGGGCCTCATCCAAAGCCTTTTGAAATTAATGGTAAGGCTTTCACTGTCTTCAGCAGGCTCTGGATCGGGCTAATGAGAAATCAGAATCAATTTTCCAGTGTCATCAAAACTGCAAAAATAAACTTTTAAAAAAAGTTCTTCTGGAAGCTCTTTCCAATACATTGTAACTAGATGATCTTCATTAAGACATCCGTTCAGCTATACACTTAAGCCTGTGCTTCACTTTTTATTTCCACCGTGACTTATGTCTGTGCTTAAGTCTGTTTTTGCTGAAACAGGGCATTAATCTGTTGATTAATTTACTGAATTAGATTTCTACACACCTCTGTTGCTGCGTTTTAACAGGCAGAAAAAGAAAAATCAAAATGGGTGTTTTGTTGCCATGAGCACTCTCAGAAAATATCCTTAGAAATAGAAGCTGCATGTTAGCTGTTGAATTTTTAATCTTTCATAATTTAGTTATTTCAACTGATGGTCTTATTGACAGGAGATGCTGTTAATTTCAGTAATAATTTCCATTTGGAAATACATACATCTGTACAACAATGTTACATTAAAATGTTAGAGAGAGAAGAAAGAAAGAAATGTAATGAGGAAAATAGAAGCTAGTTATGAGTGTTAATTTTGTAGTTCATTTTCTAAATATATTCAGCAAAACGTGTGAAGAGAGCAAAAAAGAAGGCAAACAAACATAGCAGCTGTTGTTGAAAGTGTAACGACATGTATGTGAGGCATCGACTTACCACCAACGCGCCTCCTCATGGGCAAACATGGAAGTTTTCTCCCCCTTGGTGTTGCTCTGCAATTGCCTGCCTTTTCCTGTGACTTGGTGCTCTGGCCCGGTGACTTCAGTCTCTCCCCTTCCAGGGTAGTCCATGAACAAAAATAGAGGGGATTGTCTTCCTCTCAGGGCATATCAGGATCTGGCTCTTCCTTCCCTCCCTAAGAGAGGAGCTTTCACACAATGGTTGTCTGGAAAGTTCCTGTCATCAGTCCTCAGTGTAGGGTTGCAGGTCTCTCTTCCCTGATCTGGCCATGAGCGAGCTGCTCTACTCCTTTTTAACTTCTCTTCCTCTGGCCTGTGCATCTCCTGCAGGAGTGGTGGGGTGCAGCCAGCTGGGCCTACAGCAGCTCATTAGCCCCTTATTATCCACTGTGGGCTTTGTATACCACATCACATAGGGAATAAGAGCAAAGTGTATGAGCTCTGTTTTGTATGCCAAACCTGAAATAATGCGCATCTCAGCAGAGAATCCTGTTTCCTAGCAAGGAGAAAGAAGACAAGGAATAGATTGTTACAATTAACAAAAACTTTGTCAACAACTATATGAATTCCCAAAGTTTGTGTATATAGTACTAACAGCAACACATGTTAGTATTAGACCAACAGCCCCCACCACTTGACCCTAACATAACTACAGTTCAGTAACTTCTGATAATACTTCTTAGGACGTATTGTTCCTGTCTTAGTTACAAGGTATCTGCATCCCTATTTACCCCTCAGTGGTCCCTTGAGGGCACACAGTTAAGAGTTTCTGACTCCTAGCTATCACCTCTCTTGGATGGAGACCCACACAACATCTCACTTTCTTCTGAGAAGGGGTTTTAAGGTCTTTCAGCTCCCGAATCTTCACTGTGATATCTCCGGTAATCTAGATGCCTAAAAGTCTAGTTCCTGTGCTTTTCTTTTTCTCACACAGCTATGGCCAGTTACAAATCACCCCACCACTCCTTCTAAGCAAGCATATTTATTCTTATATTAAAGGCATTCCGGAGAAAGCGTATCAGAACAATAGAAGAACTTACACTCATGCTAAAAAGCTTCCTAGAGGTAAGCTCCAAAAAAGGACTCTAGTGTCAGTCCTCCAAACTCCACATCTGGGTTTTCTCTGTGGTTATACGTTTATAACAGTTTTTAAATCAGGAACCAGAATGAAGACCCCCAAATTAATTCAAGTTTGGCATATAAATCTAAAAGTCCTGTCTTTGCCTGTTGCTTTCTGGAAAATTTGATTCAGAATATGAGTCTTCCTTCAGGAAATGTTACTGCTCTGAAGGTGTTGTAGCCTAAGGCTATGTCTACACTATCAGTTTATTTTGAAATAAGAACTCCCAAAATAACTATTATGAAATAAGCTTATTCTTCACAAACTGGAGTTATTACAGGCAGTCCCCGGGTTACGTACAAGATAGGGACTGTAGGTTTGTTCTAAAGTTGAATTTGTATGTAAGTCGGAACTGGTACATATTGAAACTCTAGCCAAACATTTCTCCAGAGCTCAGTTTTATTTTCCCACACCTCTCTTCCCTCAGTCCTTTATTCTCAAGCTGAGGTGTATGCTGAGAAAAGCCGCTCTGCGTCTCCCTGGTCTGCTGGGGGGAAGCAGCTAGTGCGGGGTTGCCTCACCCCATTTGTAAGTAGGGATCCGATGTAAGTCGGATCCATGTAACCCGGGGACTGCCTGTATTTCAAAATAACACGCCCATTATTTCTAATAACAGGTTTGGTAGTGTGAACACTTGCTTGCTATATTGAAATAAGGGGAGTTATTTTGAAATAACTCCCCAGTGTAGCCATGATGTAAGAGATCTTCCTTAATCCTCCTTCTACTCTTTTCACCTCTTGATGAACTTGTGATTAGCGTCCCGACATAGGGCATGTCTAGAAAGACATAAAATGTGTTTAAACTGAAGTAACATTTCAGCTAATATATAGTGGCTTTGAGTATTAAATACATTGAACTCTGAGTTTTGAAAGCAGTTACAGATCAATAAACCGTTTTGTTAAAAATAAGGATTTTAGCACTTGGACATACAGTGCTATGTGCATGCAGGAAAGCACTCTACATGGATTACACAGCATATTGCTTTTTAAATTCACTGGCAATCTAGAGATTAAAATTCCCTGATTATACAAAAACATATTGTAGTGCTATCACCCTCTATTGTGCTAGTAATCTGGATTAGGGATATTTAGCAGTACACCACAAACAACGATGACACCAAGAGGAATGATTTTCATATAGACTGAGTTGTGAACAGAAGGCAAGTCTGTAAATGAAACTACCTTTTATAATTTCAACAAACACCATGTATGTTAAACAACATTGTTGGAAGCCAACATGTTTATGGGTATCTAGAGAGACCCAAATATTCACATTTGATGGATTTTTTTAAATGTCATTGTTTTGTCTGGCACAAATGAATCTACTATACATGGAATTTTTTGATGTTTCAGTTCAGTTATGTCTTGAAATCCTTTCTGTAGGATTTGTCTCTAAGCCCTGGTCTACACTAGGACTTTATTTTGAAATAACCCCCTTAAGTCAAATTTCAAGCAGAGGAGCCACACAACCAAGCCTGTTATTTCGAAATAATGGGCCGTTTAATTAAAAATCTGTACTCCTGCTTTTCATCAGAAATAACACTAATTCTGATGTAGTTATTTCAAAATGAAGGTAGTATGGATGCACCGATACCGCTATTTCAAAATAATTACTCCCCAGTGCTTCCTGGGGCTCAAGGCCAAGGGAATGCTTCCACATTAATGGAGCTTGCCTCAGATTAATTTTGAGGCTTCCCCATAATGTAGACACATTAGTTCGATTTTGTTAAGTTGGGCATTATTAAGTTGAATTTACTAATTTTGAACTAGATTCCTAGTGTAGACGTGGCCTAAGGTCTGAGACCTGCCCCTTTTCACTTGAGAATCAAGTTATGGGGGAATCACAGAGCAGCAGCAGATGGGGATCAGAAGCTTTACAATCATCCTCTGGGCTGGCTGCAATGCCTCTGCAAACTGTGCATTATTGGGGCTTTGTAAATGAAAGAAGAAGGCATTCTGGGGCAGAAGAAGGAAGGGAGGGAAACGTAGTAACTTAGCAGATTTCTTCTGGGAAATCCCCATGAGCATTAATATTATTAAGCAACATTTACTGCCTCTGTGGTCTCTACAGCCGAGAAAAGGACGTGAACAACAAAATCCTGTAATAGCCGTTTAGCTGACAAGGGAAGAAGTCTCTCCAGTGACAAAGAAGCAGGCCTTCCCCATACAGTAGTGTTTTGTTGCAGGATCCAAAGGGTTACTTGGTCTCATGTTAAAGGGAAATTCAGTCCATAAGGAAAGCTTTGTTGAATTTCTAGTAGAGTTTTCCCTTATGTGGGTTTTTCTGTGTGGGATGACATCAAACTCAAGATGTTTTGCCTATCAGTAATGTCATTGCATTTTCCATGTGGGGTTGCTTTCTCTCTGCCTCCTTCCCATTTATTTTCCTACCAATTACCATATAATCACTTGTCTCGCAGCAAGAAAACTTATAATCAAAGATTATTGACTGTTGGTCTTTCCTACTGGATAGTGTTGGCTATAACCGTAGCTCTTTTTAATGACTACCCTGCCAGTCAATTCTTAGAAACCTGCACAGAAAATTCTCTCAGAGCATTTTGATGCCTTTATCCTGCCTGGTGGGTTGTCTTCCATTTGCTTCCTTAAGAAACATTTGCAAGATATTGTTGTACAGTTTGCTTCTTGTCTCCTGATCCTGAAATCACATAATTGCACCAGAAGTTCTAGAAATTCATTGTTTTGCTATTGCTTCCTAGGTTTCACTACTCTTGGTAAGTATCCTTTTTAACTTCCCTCAGTGTTACTGTTACTATCATTATCCTGACAAACTTGAAATGAACCTAAGAAAATTACATTTCTAGCTGTAAATTATAAATATTTGTCAAGGAGACATAGTATGTATTTCCCAATGGTCCTTCAGTTTTACTGCTGCTATGAATGGAAAACTAGTAAATTACTACCATAGTCTCCCTAGATAGCACTAACTGTCACCATGACAAAGCATCAAAAAAGAAGTATCTACTAGGGATGAACAAAAATGTTTGAAACAGCAATGTCTAAATGATAGTTGTGTATGGTCAGCTATACTGTATCTACAGTCAGGAAAATGTACTTCTTGAATTTCCTTGCAACAGGAGTGATTTTGAAATACAGGCCAAGCGTACATTATATTTCCTATTGGAATTGAATACACAGGTGCAAATTCTTCTCTTGAATCCTAAGAGAATATCTACCTGCTAGGCCCTCTGTTCAGTTCATCTCTATTTCCTTAAATCCATCGCCTTAAATTTACTTCACGATTTTTACTTTTTTGTTGTCTTCAGTCTATATGAATGTTGATTTGGTAAGATTTCTGCTGAGACTTTTAAATTGGATTACCCCGTGCCATTGCAGCTGTTATTCTTAGTATTTTGTGAAATTAGCTGAAATGTGGAGCAGCCACATTAGAAAAGTCAGAGCCATCTTCTTGTTTGTTTTCATTTCAGTTGATAGCAAGTCTCATAAAATCTAAAGCATTTCAGTGTCCACATTTTCCAAGGCTGCCATAACAAATCCATGTAGTATAGTTATACCATACATGGCAGTTGGGCCAAGAACCTTTGTCTTCAGCCCTAAATAAACCAGGATTCTACCAAATGAAGAATTTGCTCAGCTCATACTAATAGTCGGTCTAATGTATTTATTGTGGGCTGGCCACCAAATACCAACAGCACACTCACTCTCATGTCTACACAAAGCCAACATGAAGACCACTACACACTGTTTGATCAGCACCTTGCATAACAGCACAGTTCCATGGAAATAACTCAACTGTCAATTCTCAATAATGAAAATCATATGTGCAGGAGAGACAGATTTCTGGGTTTCTATCCCACATATCTGGAAATCATAGAATTTATCTTGATGAACTTTCAAGGAAAAATTCAAAAAATGTTTGTGTGTACCCTTCACAACTTGGGCTTTCAGATACCACAGTGAGGGATGCCAAGATACTGCATTTTGGTATTCAGAAATGGATTTGTGAACACAAAACTCCTTGAGTATCCAGAATTTACAAGGATAATTGTGGAGACTGGCCCTGAACAAACTGGAAATTGTTATTAATAAAAATGACACACCTACCCCAAACGTTAAATCACCTTTGACCTCCTTTGTTGGGAGCCATCCCAAACAGAGCTCCTCTACTATGGTTTCTGGTGACTGCTACTGCAGATTGAGTGGATGTTTTCACAGAACTATATACAATGACTCCAAGATCTCTCCTGAGATATAAAAGCTTATTTAGTTCCCATTATTTTATATGTATGATTGGGATTATGTTTTCCAATATACATTACTTTAAATTAATCAACTTTGAATTGTTGATAAACATGTGTTGCACCCCTTTCAACTTTCTGCTACGGTTCCCTGGGCCACTTATTCACAGCCCTTTCACTGTCACTGTTATCTCAGCATGGAAGTCTTTCTTGGATTCTCTCTACCAGCCAGGAGCACCTTCCTTGTTCCCCTAGTCCCTGCCAGCAACGGTTCTGTCTAGGTACTGTAACAAGCCAAGAGCACTATTCTCACTCCTCTGGGTCCATCTAGCAAGCAACTAATCTGTCCAGCGGCTCCTTTATATGAGCTTGTTTATTCTGATTGGTTGCTCTCTGGAGCCTCTCTCTAATTGGCTGCTTCCTCAGTAGCCACACTAGATATCCTGGGGGATTCACTTTCATTGTCACTTTTTAGAGGCAGGAAGGGGTAGGAGAACAAGCCCTCCAGCAGGGAGCAGATGAGCCTAGTGCACCCTATCACACTGTCAAAGACAAAAGAATATGGATTTACCTGTTTGACTTGCTTGGTTACAGACAAAAATCAATGGAAGTGATTTACATATAAAGATAAATAAAGCAATCAAATAAACAAGCAATGGAGCAAACATTTTAGTGAGCTTAAACAAAAGGAAAAATGAGGTAGCACTTCAAAGACTAACAAGATGGTTTAATAGGTAATGAGCTTTCATGAGCCAGACCCACTTCCTCAGCTTGAGAGTCCATGTTTGCAGCCAGGAAATCTTCCTGGCTCTTGTGATGAACATAGTGAATTTTGGAAATGAAAGGGACAGTGAAAAGACACTCTAGTGGTGAACATAGGAGCAACTTACGTAGCTTTTAAAAGTTGAGTCCTCTTGTCCTGAAGGTCAGGAACGGTTGATAACTTGTTGTAAGTAAGAAACTGTTTTAGGCAAAGACATTACATTTAATTAGCAGAAATTGTGTTTTGTTTTCTTTTAGTTTTAGAATCATAGAATCTTAGGGCTGGAAGAGACCTCAGGAGGTCATCAAGTCCAGCCACATGCCCAAAGCAAGACCAACCCCAACTAAATCATCCCAGCCAGGGCTTTGTCAAGTCAGGACTTAAAAACCTCCAGGGATGGAGATTGTACCACCTCCCTAGGTAACCTATTCCAGTGCTTCACCACCCTCCTAGTGAAAATAGCTTTTCCTATTATCCAACGCAGACCACCCCCCCCCCCCCCCCACAACTTGAGATCACTGCTCCTAGTTCTCTCATTTGTCACTACTGAGAATCCCTGAGAAAGCTAAGTAAGGCTGCTATCAAATCCCCCCTCACTCTTTTCTTCTGCAGGCAAAATAATCCCAATCCCTCAGCCTTTCCTAGTAGATCATGTGGTCCAGCCACTTAATCATTTTGGTTGCCCTCTGCTGGACCCTCTCCAGTGCATCCCCATCCTTTCTATAGTGCAATACTCCAGTTGTGGCCTCACCAGAGCCGAATAAAGGGGAATAATCACTTCTTTAGATCTGCTGGAAATGCTCCTCCTAATGCAACCTAGTATACCACTAGCCTTCTTGGCTACAAAGGCACACTGTTGACTCATATCCAGCTTCTCATCCACTGTAATCCACAAATCCTTTTCTGCTGAACTGCTACTTAGCCAGTTGGACCCCAGCCTATAACAATGCTTGGGATTCTTCCTTCCCAAGTGCAGGACTCTGCACTTGTCCTTTTTGAACCTCATCAGATTTCTTGTGGCCCAATCGTCCAATTTGTCTAGGTCACTCAGGACCCTTACTTACCCTCCAACATATCTACAGATACCTCTCTTTTTTTCTCTTGCTTAGTATCACTTACATCTATATTGTTATAAATTTGTTCTTAGCTTGCCTATAAACTGAGTGTTTCTGTATTTAAGTAAAGTGTGAGGCTTCAGCTAATATAACTGTCTGATATGTATACTGTCTGTTTGGATGCAGTACACTTTAATAATTGTTGTGAGTTCTATTGAGTGGAACTGAACACTACAGAAAGAACTCTCTGGGAATTCAGGAACTGGGTTTTACTGATTGTTAGCTGCAATGCAAGATAAAGACAGATGGTATCTCAAGGGATTTGCTAGTGGACAGAGTGATGTGGCATGGAACTGATACAGTCTAATCTCCAGTAAAGCTCACTCTTGCTAAGGGAAAAGAATAACACAGAGGCTTATAATTCAAAGGTGTCCTTAGCAGAATTCATACCACCTCTCTCACACTCTTGGTCTGAAAAATGAATTAAATGTCTTCTGTGCCTCAGTATAGTTTGCTTAACATTGCCTCCTCATTTTTTTTTCATTTCTCTGTAATCTGTATAAGTCTTCAAGTGCCAAAATTCACTGTTCTTACATCATTTCCAGGTCATTGTTGCAAATCTAAGAATTAATCAGTATCCAAATGTTCTGATGTTTAGCCAAATAAAAATGCATCTTGGAACTTCAGGGTTTATCCATCTCCAATTTGGATGTTCCTTTATAACAAATGCCCTAACAAGAAACTAGACTAAAGGAATCAACTGGCATTGGCCACTGTTGGCAGACAGGATACTGGGCTGGATGGACCTTTGGTCTGACCCAGTATGGCCGTTCTTATGTTCTAATCAGTGCCAGAAAGAATGAAATGGTGAGCCGAGTATTTAACCCATTCTAATTATACAGAAAAATGATGGTTGTCCCCACTAAGGTGTTAGGAATGGGAGGGGATGGGACAGATAATTCTTTCATTGCACTCTGGTGGAAGAGGCAATTTTAATTTCTCAGCCATTTCTGCAAGCACAGTAGAAGTCTCCCTATATTCAACCCCTTGTGTTCTTCATTCCAGTCCACTTCCCTAACTAATTCCCTTAATTTCTTAAAGTTTGCCTTTTTAAAGTCAGGTTATTTTTGTTTATCCATCCATTTAGCACATTTATTAAACTTAGCACATTTATGGTCAAATGAACCAAGTTGGTCTTCTACAATCGATTACTTTATCATGTCCTTGTTTTCACCAATACTAAATCTCAAATGGCATGATCTTTTGTTGGTTCAGTGACTATTTGGTGAAATGTGTTGGTTATCATATCTAGGGATATCTGGGCCTTACCATTGTTAGGATCACTTGTCCTTCAATCTGTATCTGGAAAATTAAAGTCACCAATAATCACACAATTCCCAGCAGTATTTATTCAATTAAAATATGGCAGAGGTCTTTATCCGTATTCAGATCAGATCCTGGGAGCAGACCCCCAAGCTGTGTCCCAATGGATCCTCTGTTACTTTTCTTCCCCAACGTGAATTTGACCCAAACAGACTGTAAATACATTAGAAATGATGGAATGGGTGAAACAGTCTGCCCCAGTGTTAATATACAATGCTGCTTTACCATCTTTGCTTTTATCTCTCTATTGAACAGTACATATGCCTTCATACCTGTATTCCAGTCATGACTCCTACTCCACCCTCTTTCTCTCATCCCCATAATATCTTGTTTCATTTCCTGCACCAGTAGTTCTAATTCCTCCAAGAGCTGTGTCTGCTTTACTTCACCCCAATTCCTTACCTGATCAGGAACAATCGTTTAATTACTTGTATCAAAGTACCTGACAATTACTTCCCTGATATTGGCATGATCCTTCTTCTTGAGGCTCATTCTTCTACCCTCTGTCGTTCCCTTCTCCAATAATTCTGTTTCCTCTTTGACTTGATTTTCCTCTGACTTAGTATTAGGATCAGGTAATTACATGAGCATCTCCCATCCATTACCTCCAAATTTCTATTTTAAAACCCTTGTAAACAGTTGTGCCAATCTCTCTCCCAGATGTTTATTTTCCTCCCTATTTATCTAGAGTCTAGCCCTTGAAAAAAGTCTTCTGCCAATGAATGCCTTTCAGTGGTCAAACATCATTTAAGCCATCTATTGATCATCGTAATCTTGTCTCACCTATGGTTTCCTCTTCTATGGATAGATAGAAGATCACGTGAGCCCCCATTTCTTTAAGCAGCTTCCCCAGTCCACCCTCCACCCCCAAGCATCTTACCTGATGAGTCTCACTGAGAATCTAATAGAATCATTTGCTTCTGCATGAAGGACAATCAGTGGATTCTTTCTTATTCCCATTAGGATCTTCTTCAGCCTCAGGTTCACATTCTGAATCTTAGCCCCCAGCAAACAGAACATCCTATTCTTTGGATCAGCTCTGGTGATAGCCCTCTCTATTGTTCTTTGCAGAGACTCCCCAACCAAAGGGACTTGCTTCTTGCTGGTGTTGGTACGATTCTCTAGCTTTCCTATTCCTGTCCTTTCTGGCTGCAAGTATTATTGTCTTCTGTTCTCATTTGCAATCTTCTGTGAGGCATTATCTGACCTCTTTAGCTCCAAACTCTGGCTGCCTGCATTGTCTCTTAGGGTATGTCTACACTACCCTCCTATTTCGAAATAGGAGGGTACTGTAGGCATACCGCAATTGCAAATGAAGCCCAGGAAATTCAAATCCCGGGCTTCATTTGCAATTGCGGTATGCCTACAGTTCCCTCCTATTTCGAAATAGGAGGGTACTGTAGGCATACCGCAATTGCAAATGAAGCCCAGGAAATTCAAATCCCGGGCTTCATTTGCAATTGCGGTATGCCTACAGTTCCCTCCTATTTCGAAATAGGAGGGTACTGTAGGCATACCGCAATTGCAAATGAAGCCCAGGAAATTCAAATCCCGGGCTTCATTTGCAATTGCGGTATGCCTACAGTTCCCTCCTATTTCGAAATAGGAGGGTAGTGTAGACATACCCTCATTATAGAACTAGCCATTCTTCCCTTCTTTCTTAGTCTCCCATCTTCTATTACTGCCTGCCTCATCCCTTCATTTTCCAATTCAGCGGACCCGCTCCTCAACTATTTTTCTCCTTCACTAGCAAGTCTTTTTCTCTGCCGTATTCTTGTAACAACATGCTTCCACTAGCCACTTGCAGTAGTTTGCCCTCAGTTCACAGGTCTAGCACACATCTGCAAATCTTCAGGTTTCCCTGTAGTCTCCTTTTTATTTCTCTTCATATACACTCAACTCCCCTTGAAAACTCAGCCATAGTTTCTAGGTGCATTGCCAAACCTTGGACTGACTCTTCCATCAGATATATTAGGCAACACTTCATACAAATGTAACACTTTTTTTCAGGTATCCTCTCCAGAATATTCTATATCCCACAGCTTCCACAACCAGTCATCTGGATTGCCTTTTCCATTCTTTGGGTTACTACCAGAGGTGAAAGTAAGGGGATGCACCCCGGTACACAGCTTTGTCAAGAACTGGCTGAGCTACAATAAAAGCCAGCAGGGAGCTATTTAAAGGGCTGTCAAGGACCCAGGTTGTTATAGGACAGTACCTGTAAGAAATTTCAGTTATTTTCACCTCTGGTTACTAGATGTCAAAGCCTTTCCCCCAGTTTCCTATCAAGTAGGAGAAAAAACCCACTACACACACACACACACACACACACACACACACACACCTATCTAAACACCACACACCCTTCCCCAATCTCTCCTTACCCACTCCAACTCAAGCTCTCCTGTCTTCAGCTGTTTGCTGGCTCCTATGCTGATGTTCCTGTGTAGTATAGGCCTCCTCATTTTCTTTGCTTTAAAAGATAAAACTGATTAAAAAAAATCAATTTATACTAGTCTAGGGCCATGAATATAAACATTAAAATGATTAACTTGAAGGGAAACAAAATGTCATGCTGCAGGGCTTGTTTTTAAAAAACGATGAGTACCTACAGCTCACATTCATGCCAAATGAAGTTGTAAGCAATCAACATTTTAAGAAACACAGGCTCACTATGTTCCTGAATGGGATGCAGTGGTATATAGAAATTACAACATTTCTTAGTACAGCAAATAGCTGTATGATTGTGCTAGTCAGGCTTAAAATAGGCAGTTCCACAATGAAAAGGAACAAAAATGGCATAATGGTTTTCCATGTTTATTAGAGAGACAAGGTGACTGATGTAATATTTTTATTGGACCATCTTCTGTTGATGAGATAGACAAGGTTTTGAACTTACACAGAGCTCTTCTTTGAGTCTAGGTACTTAAAATATCACAGCCAAATACAAGGTGGAACAGAATGGTTGGCATGAATAGTACACACATATTTCAAGGGATCATTTAAAGAGAAGCGATCTGTAAACACTCTCACCGCCCCGGTAAACCTCATCCCACAAGGCATAATGGGGCGGTCGACAAATGCCGTTGATGTTGACCGTGGAATGTCCAGACTAGCCCGCTGAACCGACAAACAGCTGATCGGCTCAGCGCGGCAGCCATGTTAATTTAAATGAAGCGGCGATTATTTAAATTGCCGCTTAATTTTCCTATGCCTGGTAGTCTAATCTACATGCCTTTGTCGCCAGAGGCATGTAGTCTAGACGTACCCTAAGTCATAATGGGGAAGGCAGCAATGGAGGGTTATTGCAATAAGCCAGAAAATCCAGCATCTCTATTGAGGACAAGATTTTCAGTGTCTAGCAAAGTTATAAATTTAATATAATCTTTTGAAAGTGTTGTGTAGGTTTCTTTTGTGGATGAGGATTAATAGGTCAGATATAGTGTGATTGCTTTTATAAAACTTATCCACACAATGATGATTGAGTTGTTTTGTCTTTTATTGCTTTCCTGTGTGAGGGCATTTGAGAGTGTAGTGATTCTCTGGTTTCACTCAGATAATTGCTATTGAGACATTTAATTCCCTAGATGAAGCACACACATCATGGCAGGTATATGTAGCACTCATGGATCTTAAAAGGCATGTGGTACGGGATGCTGAGTGTTGTAGTTTCGCATGTGTTGTTCTGGCAGGGGCTGGTGCAGCTCTGAGTTGATATGTCCTGGTTTGGGGAGAGATTGCTTCTGTTGATGAGCATGGAGAAAAAAGCTGGAGGGTTGTTTGAAGGCCAGAAGTGGGAGTGAAGAAAGACTTTTTTCAGTTTGGGGTCATCACTGAGTATGGGATATGGTTGCTTTATGATACCCCATGTGGGTTCTGTGTTTATTATTTATCAGTAACTCCATATCAACTATGTTTTGCTAATAAACAAAATAATGCTTTTTTCTCACTGCCCAGCTTGCGGACTCAATTTATGAAGACACACGTAAGAGGAGAACTGTAGCTGGGGATACCATTGGCTTCAGTGGGCTTTAGGTCAGGCCCTTTCATAGGAAGTTAGAGGAAAATTATGCATACTAAATATTGTTAGCAACATACTCTGGCTTTAATACATTTTTTTAAATTGTATATCTGTAGCATACTGCACAGGACTAACACAGATGAAAGATGGTCTAATGATTAGACAACTGCCCTGGGACTTAGGAGACCCATACTCAAAGCCTTGCTCTGCCAAAAACTTCCTGCAGAGACCTTGGGTAAGTCACTTTGTTGCCTAGGGTTTTCAGAACCACAACTGATAATATAACTGTTTCACTACAGATGATGTCAGGACTAAATCAAAGGAAACACAGGAATTCTGTCTAATGCAAGTAAGAGTGTTCTGTCTAAAACTGCAGTTTATTAGGTTGAAGCATACGTAGACAGAGTCAGTAGGTGTAGAAAATGCCAAACATTTACCTAAAATCTGGAATGGGTATTGAGTAATTCACAAATTTGCAGTAGCGAGTTGTTCGCCCGTTTGAAAGAAAGGGAGACAGGAAAACCATCTCAAAAGGCTTCCAAATACACTGCATTAGCTAGTCTTTTATAACTAATTTCATAGTAACCCCTACTAAAGCATCACATTACCTAACTTTCAATAAACTACTTATCAAGAAATATTCCTAACGAGCTTGATCATAACATGCTTCTATATATCAAAGGCACCAAATCCAAGGTTTTCTGTCCACTTATTTTCTCTTAGTCTCAATCATTTACTTTTTTCTCCTCACCTCCCGCTCTGATTAGCAAAAACTGCCAGCTAGTATTGACCTTGCCACTAAAATCCTACTTTTAAATTAACCCTATACTATGTGAAGTTCAATTTTATTCATTCATGGTGACTTAATTCATATAATAAGATTTCTGTTGGGTTAATCACATTCCTAGTTTCAGCCACTCAGCTCTGAAATATGGGGTAACAACATAGGTACTTTTGAATTTGTTATCCTATTTGACTTAGGCTCCTAAATCATGTTGACTTTGCCCTGTCTTTGGAAAGTCAATGGGTCTTAGGTACCTAGATTACATAACTACATAGACATTGTACTATTATTCTCTCTGGCTATGTCTACACTGGCGAGTTGTAGCGCCAGAAATATGCAAATAAGGCTAAGCGTGGAATATCGGCGAGCCTCATTTGCATACCTAATGAGCCGCCATTCTTGCAGAAGAGGCTCTTGCACCAGAAGGAGCATCTACACTGCCCCTTCTTGCGCAAGAAAAACCCTCTTGCGCAATGCCGTTATTCCTGAAAATAATCAGCGTAGCGGCATTGTGCAAGAGGGTTTTTCTTGCTCTATGTCTTCCGCCAGTGTAGACATAGCTCCAGTGTTTCTGTTCAGATAATACCACTTCTCTTCCTCACAGGGCTGTTCTGAGGATGCAAAAATTAAAGACTGTAAGGCTCTCAGATACTATGATAATGGTAACCGTATACTTGCCCAAAGTAGAGAAAAAGGGGGTGAAAGCTATCAGCAAACTTTACCAAAACATCATAAAACAATTTATTTGAGATGAGATCTTATTGACTGAAATAATCTAAATTAAATTTCATTGATTTGCTCTTAGGGTGCGTCTACGCCTCACCCTTAGCTCAAAATAAGCTACACAATTTGCGCTATGCAAATTGCGTGGCTTATTTTGAGTATACAGGCAGTCCCCGGGTTACATGGATCCGACTTACATTGGATCCCTACTTACAAATGGGGTGAGGCAACCCCGCACTAGCTGCTTCCCCCCGGCAGACCAGGGAGATGCAAAGCTAGCGCCCCTCGGGAGACACGGAGCGGCTTTTCTCAGCAGACACTTCAGCTTGAGAATAAAGGGCTGAGGGAAGTGAGGTGTGGGAGAATAAAACTGAGCTCTGGAGAAATGTTTGGCTAGAGTTTCCCCTACAATATGTACCAGTTCCGACTTACATACAAATTCAACTTAAGAACAAACCTACAGTCCCTATCTTGTATGTAACCCGGGTACTGCCTGTATTTCAAAATAGCACCAAATTACAAAATAAGCTATCTACACAGCGCCAAATTGCAAAATAATCTCCTATTCCAAAATTCCCCTTAACCCTTGTGGTACAAGGGTTACCAGGTTGTTGGAATAAGCTGCCTGGTAAATCTATTTTGAAATAACGGGCTGCTTCAATAGGTGTGGAATAGCTATTTGGGGATTCTTTCAGTATCCCAAAATAGCTCTGCAGTGTAGACGTACCCTTAGTGAAGGTAGACAGTACATCATGGGAGATGAAATCTAGATGGGGAGCTTAGCCCACAAAGGAGAAAATGTGCATGGGCAACCAAACTAAAACTCTCATGGATAGATTTTTTGCTTCCGTGGCATTGCCCTTTTTGCTTCCTAGAAGAAGTGACCCTGGTATCAAGTCTAATTTTATATTATAATCATGGTTCATTTTTTTTTCTTTCCTCTTCCTTACTGAGCCCAACGTCCTCTTTCTTACTTACTTACTTAGTTCCTTTTTTGGGGGTGGGAAGTTGTTTTAAATATACACTATTCCCCCGCCCCTCCAAATTTCCACACTTGACAGGACTTCTCCTTCTGCATAAGCTTCTTGTCACTGGACATATGTTCTTTCCTACTTTCACCGCTTCCGGTTAGAGGGAAGGGGCAGATCTTGTAGATGTCTGATACAAGATGGAAAACTGTTCTTTGGCCAGTCATTGAGCATATGCTCAGATGTCATGCTGGGTGAAGATTATGAAGGTGTCACAAAGGCCCATACCGCTCTTTCCCATGGCCACCACTGACAGCCTGATTTTTATCTCATTTGCTCTGATGTAACTACCCAGTCCAGAACTGCTGACATCACCACCTGAATATGAGGAGGCATTGTAACCTTATACTCCTGAAATTGAGGGCTTCTGGGATCAAGTCCAGGCCCTGCATAGATTAATGGGGAAGGAGCTCATGTAGATTCTTCACTCTGTTCCCTAGTGCTACTAAAGATATAGGCTACTGGATCACTATTGATAAGATTTCTAATTACTCTTGGCTTGACTTGCCTCATTTTATATCTTTATAAAATATTAAAGCAGTTTTTTAATTAGTCATCTTTAAAAATATATTTCAGTGCAATAGTCTGCTTCAGAATGCATTCAAAAACTGACCATACTATCCATTAGACATTACCTCTTTGGCTCAATGCTCATAATTTTTGGGACAATCATATAGCTAGCTTTGCATCTGTCACTAATGAGTGATTGCCTACCTAATCTGTTCCTACACATCACAGTCCATCCAAACCCTCATTTTCCTCTCCAATTTGAGAACTAGCTGCTCAATAAATGTGATTATTTATGTAGGATGTAGAGATATGTATGTGCTGGGGTGGAATTTTTTTTTTATGAGCGTCACATAAATAGAATTTGCAGCTCTGTTAACAGTTTAATGCAA